AATAACTACGAGCATAATGAGAAGAAAGAATACAAATTCTCACGAATCGCAAACAGAAGTAAATTAACTCACATCCACACTTATCTCTTATGTCATCTCACCTTTGATTTGAAAAGGACATGGAACACCATGGAGAACCCAAAGAACAAGACAAAGAAGATTAGCAGCACTTTTAAGACCGACTTAGTGACCTCTATAAACATGGTGACATAAATTCCAACCAGACTCGACCAACGAAGAACCAAAACTAGGTTCGTATAGCAGAGGAAAACCCCAATAGCATTCAACGCCTGGACGCTAGCAGGGTTGAGCAACTCGACTATGTACAAGACAAAATACGCTCTATAGTGTATAAATTCAGTTAAATTACTTAAGAGTGTGCAATACCTAAGTCTTTGGACACAAATTGTTATAAATTCCTTTTCCAGTTGGGTGCCCGCAAGAAACAGTGCTGCTAAACAAAAGAACTGACTTTCCCAGAGAAAGCAAGCAGTAATCATGGCAACAAAAGCAAAATAACACAGAAAGTTGAAGTAGAAAACCAAACGCCCGAAAGAAGACCACTTCTTATTCAACAAGACCTGGGTCAAAGGATGAAAGAGCAATTCTCTGCGCTCGTGTTTCACCATGGTGCTCGGTCCAAAGAAACGCCTTCCTCCCAGGCAAGTACAGTCAGTAGGACGGGGGTCTAGGAAACGGACGTTGAAAGTAATGGTAAGGTTTGGATCATTAAAACTTTCTATCTCCGTCCCATTGATGCACTGATCCATCACCACTTCTGCGCTCTCTGGGAAGTGTTTGATCAGCAGCTTCATGGGGGTACGCCCCTTCTTGTCCTTGTGTTCCATTATCTCAGTCCATCTGTTCAAAGACATAAAAGCAGAGTCAGTGCCAAACATGTTTTCGCCCGCCCGACCGACCAAACTCGGTAAATAAGTTTTTCTTTTTTCTCATGTGACCACTAAGTCTTGCAAATTTTGAATTTGTGCTTGAACCTAGTAAGATTGTCCTTCGGGAGTCTGCCAAAGGAAGCTCAAAGTGGCTCATGAGACTTTTATTTTAAAATATTTATTATTGATGGATGGAAACTAATAAACTTTAACGTGTGTTCCCTTGTAAACAATATCGAAAACCGTTCAGTTTTTGAGTGTGGGTCGTCTTAAGTTAACTATTAGGGTGTTTTTAAGGCGCAGTGTCTTTGCCATGGTAACTTACAGTCTTGTATACGTTTGTCTTTCCTTGTCATGTGCATGCAAGTCGAGTCTTCTACCTCTTTTCATTGTGCCTTTGAATTATACTAGCAGTTCACAGTTCAGTCTGCAGTAACCTTTCCTACCTTTGGTGCTTTATCATGGCAAATACAACTTCACTATTTCCTGCCTTGGCAGCAGCCCGAAAACACGTGACACCAACTTTGTTACAAACATTCAAGCTTGCCCCGTGATCCATTAACAAGGTGACAACGCCCACATGTCCTCTCCTACACGCAATATGCAATGCTGTATCTCCATCCATGTTCTTGTCATCGACTGTGGCATTAGCATTGAGTATATCTCGGCACGACTCTTCCTTGCCCAGGTCTGCCGCACACATAAGGGGTGTCCAGTGTTCCCTTTTCTTACTAGAAGGGTTTGCGACGTGTTGCAACCGGATGTTGCCAACGATGCTGCATGTGAAAAACGATGAAGAACTCAAGTAAACTGGACAGGATAGGAAACAATGAGATGAATAACAATTTTTTGCAAGTAAGAGGAATTCAACATGACACCTATATACGAGCGCCAAAGAGTATGATCTGAACACTGATAAAATTTGTGCCTACTCAGCAAAAATTTTCGTCTCAATTTCACATCACGAAGACAAAAAAATATGCATTTGATCTTCGCTGATATGATCAAATACATTTGAAGATAAGTTTCTACCAAATGAGTTGCATAATAAGTTTGGCAATAAGTTTGGTAATTACATTTGTTTGTTTATTTTTAGCTTGTGTTAGTGTTTTTTTCAGATGATAAAAACGGCAATACTTCGATTCAGAACTTTTTCTCTTAGAAAAAAAGATAAAAACTGAGACTTCTCAGTAGTCGGGTTTTCACCTCTCTTTTCCTTTACCAGTCAGCAAAGCTACTGACATGTTGTGTAGATGAAAATCATTTCCTTTGGTGTGCTTCAAGATTTATCTGATAAGCCGCTAAAAGGGAAGGACATCGCATCGTTTTCCGTGTTTTTGATTGGATTCAAGTTATTAATTTGGAAACTACTCAACAGCGACGTTATAAGCCCAAAACGGGGTTTTCGTGACGCACATTCGAAAAGGAGAATTTTATCTGCAGGTATTAGTCAAGTATTTTTCGAACTAGGTTAACTGAGCTCGAAACGACTTTTTGAATTTTTGAGGTTGAAAAAAAAAAGTATTCTCAAGGGAAGAAATCCAACCCTGTATCTTAACTGGCCATGTGGGAAAACACATTCTCCCTGTAAATGACATAGGAAATGTGTAGAACACTGCATGGAAAGTAAGCATTCTGATATAAAGGACTGAGGTAAAGGGACAAGAGATGAAAGAGAAGAAGCAATTTACAAAGTCATTGGAAAGCTCTTTGTTAGACTTTTTGTCGCATTCTTGAAAATTTAAGGGCTGTCTTATCACAATGGCCCTTTCAGCATACCTCTTCCTCAGTGTTCGACGATTTGGCCTCAAAACTACTTCTGGATGATAGAAACGCCGCGAGATGCACCTCGGGAAGCTCTTTTCGACGTTGGCGATATACTCGACATGCATAGCCATCTTCTTAAACGCAGCGTTGCGTCGGATTGCGTCGATATCGCCCACGGCAAGACCCACCTGTAGTTAAAACATGCAACGTTCTTCAAATTATAGCATCAACTTTAATTTGTTACAAGGAAGCGTTTGAATACGAATTCTAAATTGGTGACGCACTCAGCTGCGTATCGTTTTATAAACACGTCTTGACGTCAGCTGTGGTCCGTTACAAAATAGAAGCACTATAATATAGAATCTAGTCGTTAATGAATAAATATTTAACAATTATTCCACGAGCGCGCGTTGGATATGAGATGATAGATAGCCAACCTACGCGCCTCGTTGGCTATAATCATCTCATATCCAACAAGAGTAAGTGGAATAATTGTTTAATTAAAAACGTTAAATTAAGTTATTAAATTTTATTAAAATTTTAGCTCCCTTTAAATTTTAAGCTGACACGTACGCTTGCCATATTTGTCGATTATGGTATATTGGCTGATATACCATAATGGCTAAGCCAATAAAAAGTCTTGAATTGCATTATCCAATGATCTAGTTTTTACTAATAATGGATAGCAAGCTAGGACATAATGGATAGCAAACTAGGACATAAAACAAATGTTTTATGTCCTAGGCACTATTTGACAATTAGAATCAATGATGCTATGCGTCTGTTTAGTTATAGATCCGCAAAGTTGACCGAACAATGTAGTTGCAGCAAAAAAGACTGACGCACGAGGCGCAGCCAAGTGTGAAACTATCTTCTAACGACATTTTGATGTCTTCTCAGTGCTATATAATACTGTACAGATCCAAAACAACATGGAACATATTTGTTTCATACATTATTAAAGAAGGAAAAAAAATTTTTTTGTTGATGACGTCATCTATGAATCTGTTCTCCAATAAATCATAGGTAAGAACCTAGTCTCCCTTGCAGCCCTTTCCGGCGTCGTCACGCAAGCGAAAACGCAAGCGTCACGCAAGCAAAAACGCCCCAGTTTTCGCTTGCGTGACGACGCCGGAAAGGGCTGCAAGGGAGACTGGTAAGAACCATGCATTTAAAAATAATTGAGTAATACAGCTTATCATTGAGTAAAAGTTGGAGAAAAGTTCCTTATCTTAGTTGATACATACCAAGAGGTTCATTAACACAATTGTCATTAGAACCATGAACAAGCCGAGGAAGACGAACGAGGTTTTCTCAGAAAAAGTCGGCTCCCATGATGTAAGATTCTTGGAAGGCATGAATTTTTCTTCAAAGTCCACCTCTCCAACCGTCATCACTGCTACCTTCAGTATAGCAATTCCCAGATACTTAAATACCTTTCCCTGTGGNTTAATACCGCAGTTCAAAATATATGAACTTCATATATTCATTGTACCCAAATAGACTTATGTCATCTCACCTTTGGTTCGAAAAGGACATGGAACACCACAGAGAACCCAAAGAACAAGAAAAAGAAGACTAGCAGCACTTTTAAAACTGACTTAGTGACCTCTATAAACATGACGACATAAATTCCAACCAAACCCAACTGACGAAGAACCAAGACTAGGTTCGCATAACAGAGGAAAATCATAATGGCTTTGAACGTCGAGTCATCTGAGTCATTTGTTAAATAGGGGAGAAAAAACATTCCATAGAAAATCCATCTAGTTAAATTACTTAAGACTGTGAAATACTTTAGCCTTTGGACAAAAATTTTCATAACTTCCTTTGTGAATTGGAAGATCACAAGAGATAATACTACCCAAAACAGTGGTTCAGAAATGTTATGTAGATCTTCATAAAGAAGAACTGTAAACGTGGCAACAAAAACAAAATTGCACAGAACGCTGAAGTAGAAAACCAAGCTCCCGAAAGAAGACCACTTCTTATTCAACAAGACCTGGGTCAAAGGATGAAAGAGCAATTCTCTACGCTCGTGTTTCGCAATGGTGCTCGGTCCAAAGAAACGACTTCCTCCCAGGCAAGTAGAGTCAGTAGGACCGGGGTCTAGGAAACGGAGGTTGAAAGTAAAAGTAAGGTTTGGATCATCAGAACTTTCCATCTCCGTCCCATCAATGCAGTGATCCATCACCACTTTTGCGCTCTCTGGGAAGTGTTTGATCAGCAGCTTCATGGGGGTACGCCCCTTCTTGTCCTTGTGTTCCATTATCTCAGACCATCTGTTCAGAAACATAAATACAGAGTCAGAGCCAAATATCTTTCATATAAGTCTTAAAAGACTTGAATGTGTGTTTGAACCTAATTAACTTCCTTTGGGAGTCCGTCCAAGGAGGCTCAAGCAATGGACCTTTATTTTAAAATACTAATTATTGATGGACGGACACTAATACACGTTTACGTGCGTTACCTTCAAAAGTTATCAAAAAGGTCCCCAGTGTTTATAAAATAAGGTCCTGGGTCGTATTTAAAGATTTTTTTTTTAAGCTAAAGGGGACACCGAACCTGTTCTTGAGTGAGGGTCACATTCAGTTAAATATAAGGGTATTTCTAAGGCGCAGTGACTTCGCCATGGTAACTTACAGTCTTGTATACGCTTGTTTTTCCTTGTCATGTGCATGCGAGTTGAGTCTTCTACCTCTTTTCATTATGCCTTTGAACTAAACTAGCAGATATCAATTCTGTCCGCATTAATCTTTCCTACCTTTGGTGCTTTATCATTGCAAATACAACTTTACTATTTCCGCCCCTAGCGGCGGCTTGAAAACACGTGACACCAATTTTGTTACAATCATTCAAGCTTGCCTCGTGATCCATTAACAAGGTGACAACGCCTACATGTCCTCTCCTACACGCAATATGCAATGCTGTATCTCCATCCATGTTCTTGTCATCGACTGTGGCAGTAGCACTGAGTATATCTCGCCACGACTCTTCCTTGCCCAGGTCTGCCGCACACATAAGGGGTGTCCAGTGTTCCCTTTTCTTACCAAAAGGGTTGGCGACGTGTTGCAACCGGATGTTGCCAACGTTGCTGCATGTGAAAACAATTAAGAACTCAAAAATTTATACTTTGTGTGAGATCGCTGCGTAGTCTTAATTATGATATTGAAACTTTTGTTTGAAACCACACGTGCTTGACCTCTATAGCACTTTTGTTTACTGGAACGCTTGCAGTCCAGCAAGGCGTTGCTATGGGGTTTCCAAGCAGGTGACCTCTAGCTGCAAAAGGCCTATTCACGCTTTGATCCCGCGCAAGAGAAAAAGTGCGTGCAGCGGAATTAGAACGTTTTAACTTTTGGACGGTCAAATCAAGAAAGAAATTAAACGACCCTCCTGCGTTTATTGCGCTACAAATACAGTTGGCTTTCTTTTCCGGCTTTCGAAATAAACAAGTCATGCTTGATTCTTATAAAGTGAAATCTTTTACTATATAATAAAT